CCCACACACACACCTTCCTCCACCCCCTCCCCACCCCACCATCCAGAAAACAATTCTGAAAAAAAAAAATAATAGGCCTAATAATATTGTAAACGAGCACTTGGACATATGCTAATAAAGAATTTCACATACATAGATGGAAGGTAAACAAGTCTTTTGGTATCAGTAAAACAAGAAAACTCTGAAAAAAAATTAGAGAATAACGCCATGAAGGCCTATCACTTTTGTGGCATAGAGAAAAATTAGGAAATCAGAATTCTCGTCATGTGATATATTTATAGCTCACATGACAGTCACATGGCCTCAATGTGGATCCAAAATGGCGACCTCCAGAGCTGTGCTGCTGTTGTTATTCCTGGGAAGTTGTGTGGGTGTGCGGCTGTTCCACAGAGGGCGGCCTCGGGGCGGGATGGTGGGCGTGCCAGCAGTGAACTGGGAACATGAACTGCCACCAGATCAGTGGATAGAACAGCAGCTGGATCATTTCAATGACGCGGATACCAGAACGTGGAAACAGGTGCTTGCCTAATATCACATTTGTAGCGTGATGAAATTCTACTTTAAATGTAAAGGTGAAGTATAATAATAATAATAATAATAATAATAATAATAATAATAACATTGGTAGCACGATGCAGTTTTTAAACTTAAGTTAAAAGTTTCAGGTGAAATACTGCTTTAAAGGTAAAGTCCTTCCCCCTACCCACAAGACCGACCTTTTAGTTTAACATTGCTACGTAATTTCATGTAGTAAAAATGATATAATTATTTTAAATGGGAGTGCTAGAGAAGAGGCTGATTAAGAATTACTACACGTAGTACCCAGGCATACTCATAAATGTTCCCTAAACTGGTACAATACAGCATGTAAAAAACAATAATTTTAAGCATATTTTTTTTCAGAGATACTTTGTCAACGCCACATTCTACAAGCCTGGTGGTCCAGTATTTGTCCAGATTGGAGGTGAGGGGACGGCAGATCCTATTTGGATGGTCACTGGACAGTGGATTAAGAATGCAGAGATTTACAATGCCATCTGTTTTCAGGTGGAACACAGGTTCTATGGGAAGAGCCACCCTACGCCGTAAGCACCAATGTTGACAATAATAACAATAATAATAGTAATAATAATAATGATGATGATAAATAAAAAAATAATAAAAATCAAAATAATGATGATTATGAATATGAAAAGGAATAATAATAATAATAATGATATAATGATGAAGGAAGTGAGAAGATCTTGATAAATGGGTCTTGAATTTATCTTCATTTTAACCACACTTTTTACAGAGCTCATACTCGTAGCTGAATGTTTATTTTACATGGTTAAATTATTGAAAGGTGAAAACATGACAGTTTAATTGCAACTTTTAGCAAGTTATTGATTCCAGATGAGATATTCATTTCATATAGCACAGTTATCACATATTCAATAAATTGTTTATTAGACAAAGTTCTTTCAGCTGAGCTCATATATAAAAATCTTTCCAAATGAATGTAACACTGATCACTGATCACCCAATGGCTCTTCCATTTTCACGACATAATTCCCAGCTGTATATTTTTCAGTGATATGAGCGTGGACAACTTGCGATACCTGAGTAGTGAGCAGGCGCTGGCAGATCTGGCTCACTTCAGAGAGTACATGGGAAGAAAGATGAATCTCACCAACGCTAAGTGGATCACATTTGGGGGGTCTTACCCAGGTACTTGAGTATGTAGTGGGTGGAAGATATGTGGTATCTAATTCTTTACATCTTGGATCCTCTTTGGTGAGGACAGAAGAAATAGGGTTGCCAGATTAACATTATTGTAATTTTTCCCTTGAATTACAGGCATTTTTTCTTTATTTAATGTTAAAATATGTAATATGCTAAAATATAAAAATATTTTACAATTGTTCTTTTAAGGTTACTAAACAGTTTTCATTTATTCATTCAAAACACTGTATTCTTGAGTCACATGTCATTCATTTGAAGTGATGTTTAATCCTGAATGCATAGAAAAATACTAAGATAAGATTGGATCAATACTCTTAATGTATGACAGTAAAGTGTCAAATTTTTAGAGCATTTCAAACGAAGACAAACATCTTATGAATTAAATGATCAGTTTGAATTTTAAATTAAGGCTTATATTGCAAGAAATTACAGGTATAGTTTGATCTGTCCTAGGCTCGCTGTCTGCCTGGTTTCGTCTGAAATATCCTCACTTAGTGCATGCTGCTGTGGCAACCAGTGCGCCAATGTTTGCCCTGCTCAACTTCAAAGGTATCGAATGCATCTATTATTATTTTTAATGGCATCACACTAGCATACAAATAATTATAGAATAAACTCATTAGAACAGAACATTAACTGACATACCAGATAAAAAGAAAAAAAAATCACACTAGTACTTAACCCACTTGATATACTGGTATGCATATAAAAAAAAAGTAAAACATATATACATATGTAATATACATTATAATAGAGGGCAACATCTGATATTACATCCATTATCACAGAATAATAGATATCTTACTTATAAGTTGAAAGTGGCAAGATGCATGCAACTTTTTGTATTAGAATATGTGATTGAAAATGATGCTTTGATTTTTTAATGCCTTGCAGCATATTAATTAACATCATATGATATAGTTCTTTTTAATTATTTAATTGTTGATATTGCTGTATATTTTACCAATCAAATTGATAAATTGCCGGTCTGGGTTTTTTTTTTTTAATAATTTTTAAATTGCACTTCTGGAATGAAACTGTGTAGATCAGTTATACATGTACAAGTACTGCAGGTTACAGAAACTTCTGTTGATATTTTAAACTATAGACAACATAGCATTATGTAAATATTATATCTTCTGCATAATATATCATAGAAGTAGAAAAAATATTTAATTTCGTATTCTTTTATAAATGACTAGATTATCTGTCAGTGGTCCGTGATGCCTTGGATACCACAGCAACAGGAACTATGTGTAACAAGCTGATAGGTGTCGCTGTGGATGCTGTGTCCCAGGCCATCAAGACAGACCAAGGAAAGAAAATGATGAAGGAGAAATTCAGGTATATTGTAAGCCACTTGATGTACACTGTCAAGAAGTTTGTAAAAGTACAATAGTGAATTAATTCCATTTTATTGAAAAGTGTTGATTTAAAACTTCATGTGAAGGTTCATTTGATGATAGTTATAAATTAAACTGAAATATTTACAGGTAACAAAAATTGTTTTAACATTGATTAACAAATTTGTGAAAAAATATCTTCTTTGATCTTGTGGTGTTTTTTTGCCCATTTAGTTTAATTTGTTTGGACAGGCATTTGTACTAAACTTTTTCAGTCCAAATAAACTGGCCCAAAATGAATGCTGTACTACCTCCAAAGTTTTCAAATATTTCTCACATTCTTCCTGTTCTTCCTCAGACTTTGTGACAATCTTGATGGTGCCTCTCCTAATGATATCGCCAACTTATTCAGCACTTTGGCAGGAAACTTTGAGGGGGTGGTGCAGTATAATAAGGACAACAGGGCTTTTGAGGTTCGTCTTATTGTTATCTTTTATGATTTTAGACATTTTTAAAAATTAAATCAAAAATCTGTGTGGGAATACTGGTTACCATCTGCTCACCATGTATAACGATACATACAACACAGGTGTATTGGTATACTGCAGACATTAGCTTTTTCCCCACAATAGCGGAATTCCACATTTTTTAAAATTCATTTCTGATGGTTCCTGAGATTCTTCAGCAGGTTAGGTGTTGGGTCACATGATAAATGTTCAGAGGGTTTTTTAAAGCTTAGGCTCATGTCTGACACTGTAACATGCACTAAGTATTTCCATATATTTACAGGGAGCTGTGGGCACCAACATCACCATAGACACCCTGTGTGGACTGATGGCCGCCCAGCGCGCTGACCCTCTGACTGGCTTCTCAATGGTCAACTCTCTCATACTGGACACATACAAACAACCCTGCCTGGACTTCTCATATAAGAACATGATCAAAGAGTTACAGTTGACTGACTGGAATAGCAGTGCGGCTGAGGGGGGTAAGAGAAATGAAGGAAAAATGGTATGAAATAATTTTGCCACTATGTAAAGATGTTGTCACAATGTATCAGAAAGTGTCTACTTTTGTTATTTTGTATCATTTTCAGGGCGCCAGTGGACGTACCAGACTTGTACAGAGTTTGGCTGGTACCAGTCGTCAGATCTCACAGACCAGCCCTTTGGTCACATGTTTCCTGTCAGGTAAACCTCATCGATGGCTGGTCGTTTATATGCAAGGTTGATTTGTCTCTTTGTTGTATTGGTTGGTTGAATGTGAGGAGATGAGGTCAAGTTCTTTAATTGGACATTTGTCAGAAATTGATAAGGGTTTCCTGTGATGGAGGGAACTCTCTTGATTCTGGTGGAAAATACTTATTATAATTTTCTTTGATCGACGCATCTTCCATTGGCAGATCATATATGAATACCATACAGAATTGTGTAAAGAAACATTCAACTAGGAGAACTGTTTATGTCCTAGATAAAACGCATCAAAATTCATTGCATTGCGTCATTTTAAAGTAACCTAACTGGTATTTCATTCTCTCTCTTACAGTTTCTCAGTTCAGCAGTGCAAGGATATATTTGGTGACAAATTCACTCAGGCTCTCAATGTACAAGGTATAAACAGGACCAACACTAACTACGGAGGATACGGGATCAAAGTGAGCCGTATTCTCTTCCCCAATGGTTCTATAGACCCCTGGCATGCTCTGGGGATCACCAAGGATCTCACACCTGATGCCAGGGCCATTTTTATTAAAGGTGAGGATTGTCACAGTGTGTACACAACTGAACATAAAGGGTTTAAAATAAAGAAAGAAAGAAAGAAAGAAAGAAAGAAATCTGTTGCTGTAAAACTCACATGGTTTAAAGAGAACAAAAAATTATTGCTGTATAATTATGTTCTACAAAGTAAACAGTACATATATATAATGATTATCAGTATGAAATAATGTGAGTTTTATAGCATGTAGTACATTCCTATATACAATATACAATTTAGAAGTAACATGTACCCTGACTCGCCCTCTGACTCCCCATAATAAATAATATGATATACAGCTTATCTATATATAATATGTATACAAATCTAAATAAAATTCCAGGAACGGCTCACTGTGCCAACATGTATCCCGACTCTCCCTCTGATTCCCCCCAGCTGGTGGCGGCCAGGATGGCCATTAGGAAACAGATTGGACAGTGGCTGCAGAGGTGAGGAGCAGACACCTGCCCTTTCCAGGCCTTATAAACAGATTAGCTGTGTATTAACACTACCCGCAGATCTTGTAGCACCAACACCCATATTAACCACCAAATCCACAAATTTTAATTAAAACCAGCACTACCAGAGCGGATGAATGTTAGTGCTAGGTATCGCTTTGTTGGTGCTAAATAATTGTATGGTGTGTTGGTTTATTTGTGGGTTTGGTGGTTAAAATGGGTGTAAGTGCTAAAAGGTCTGCAGTAGTGCTAGTAAAAGCCTAATCCATTTGTAAGGCCTGCTTTCCTCTGATAGCAGCTGCAGTGAAGAAGTCGCTCAAATAATAATGAAGAACAAAAGAAAAATGAAAACTTTTCTTGGAATGGCAAGAAATGTCCAGCTGTGATAGATGACCTCTGGTTGGTGTATTGGTTGGGAGGGTAGGCTTTGGAAAAATAATGATAATAATATCCACAGAAAAAAGATTTAGAAAAATTGTTGATAAAATCAGGTCTTCGATGATTCAGGGATTAATTGGAGATGATAGAACACTTCATCAGTTTATCTCAAGACAGATTCCAAAAGAGTAGAAACATGTCTGTCGCAGCAGGCTGCACCACATGTATCAATTGGGCAAAAACAATGATTATGCAGTTTTTTAAATTGAGATACTTAATGATTAACATTTGATATCTGATAAATGGTTGTATTTGTCATCTGACACACAAGAAAATACAAAATCTTTATGTGAGGTAGATTTTTGTAGATGTTCAAAGAAAAATAAATTTAAGGACAATTTTGTGGTTATTCTTTTTTTTAACAAATGCAAAAAGAACATACATGCACACATGCTCAGATCAACTATTTTCAATAACTTTTTCAGTACGAATAAATGGCAAAATCATAACTTTCTCAATAGAAAAATTCATAAATAAACAAACCTTAAAAAAAAAAACTGAAAAAAGAGAAAGCAAAAAAAAAGTGCAAATTCATATGAGAAATAAACTCTGGAATATATTTAAAGTTGCCATTGTTTTTATTTGTCTTTTTGTGATAATTTTGTTTTCTTAATTCTTTTTGCTCATTTGTCTCAGCATTAAAGGTGTATATTTTCCTCACATCAGTAATGATTATTACCACCAATCTTTAAAAGAAAATAAGGTTTGCCAAAAAGATGAACAACCTGTTCTATGATTATAAAATCATTAATTTTTTGACACGCTTTCATTTGAAGAATGATGTAAGTAAAATTATTTCCCCTCATAAAGAATACTAATTTGCTTATTTATTAAATAAATTTATATTAATTTTATTTTCAATTGAATTTATCTGGTTTTATTTAACCAGCACTAAAAAGTTAATCACACCCAGCAGTAAGAACACCTGAAGCATCCAGGGGTGCGTGACGTCATCATTTTCTGTGCACCGCCATTACACAAAGCCCGTCGTAGGCGGAGATACAATGTGGTAAAAATACACACCGACGGTTCCTCGCTGCGACTTCCATCCCTTCTAGACAGGGGCAGGATGGACACGGTATCTCTTTATGTCACCACGTGCAGGTATGTTATGCGATCGGATCCCAACGATCCGAGCACCTACAGTGAATTGTACCGCTACGTCCCTTTCCTTCGCCAAGCGTTACTGTGCTACGTGTGTGGAGGGATATTGCAGCGTCCTATGGGTCCTGTGGAGAAAGTCTGTCAGCATAATGTGTGTAATGACTGCGTCGGTGGGAAAATGAGGCTTAAGCCACAGTGTAGTTGGTGTAAAGACCATAAAGCGTTCATAGAAAAACCACAGCTAAGGATCGTAGTACAGCTTTTCAAAAAATTATGTGAATACATTTTGAGTACACCGCTAGCGGAGAAGATAGCCGCAGGGAGCGTGAATGGAGAGAGTAATTCTTTATTACAAATCATGCAAGAGGCGGTGGATTTTCGGGACGATCTGTATACCAATGGCGAATCTCAGAAGAAATTGAAAGAAAATGGACCACCGAAGCTAACCAAGATAAACAATAACAAACCCAGTAAATCTCACCTAACGCAACGGGGACGAAAGCCGTCGTCTCAACAGTCGCAATCAGCGCAGCCTCCATCACCGTCGCTCTCTTCTCCAACGGCGGACAGCACGATTGTCGCTCCAACAAACGACACGAACTCTGTTAACACTGCCGAGCAAACTGTCACATCTAGCAGTACTTTGTGTGAGGGGGTGGTTTTATCAGGTAGTCCTTTACAACAAGATGCCATGGCAACAGTGACCTCAGCGGGTCCGGCTGAAGGGCAAGCCGCAACGTCGAACCACCACTACAGCGTAACTCTAACCAACCATGACACCCCCAGACTAAAACTTAAACGTAAATATCCCACAGACGATCACTCCAGTATGATTAAAAAATACAAACCAGACAGCGCGATTACTTCAGGTAATAAAAAGACCTCGTCAAAAAACCAGAACGCCGACGCGAAGAAGAAGGGCTGCCGGTGCGGTAACGCCACTCCTACACCGGGCAAGCTGACGTGTTACGGTCAGCGGTGCCCGTGCTACGTGCAGCGTGTCGCGTGCACAGAGTGTCGATGTCGCGGCTGTCGGAATCCAGTAAAACCCATCAAAGTTGAAATATCTGAAAACTTAGAGGTAGAAGAGGAGGAAATAAGCGTTGTATGATTACTTGTAGTTGCTTTGTAACTTATATATTCCACAATATTTGCTCCTCCGCTACATTTTTTTCATGAAATATTTAATTTTGGAGTATCTTATAAAATTAAGGGAAAAGAAACATTTTAACCCCATGTTACATCTCTTCTCTTTAATTGTTCTGGATGTAAGTGTCAACTAGTTTGGCTCGGTGTAGGGTGTGCGTAGGGGTAAATATTGTGAAATGGCTCCTTTATGAAATAGACTACGTTTGTTTTTTCGGTTTATGTGACATCTTCGACTTGTATAGAAAAGTAATAAGGGATAGTGTTACTAGGAAAACTTTGGTTTTATTCCATCGTGAACTTCCAAGAAGTTTCACAGATTAGAGATGCAGTGCATTTTTTGGACAAATTCTCGTGAGGCTTGTTTTATTATTATATAATTCATTTTTCCATGTATTTAATTGTTTACTTTATTATTCTTCGTCTTGACCAA